GCACTAGAATTAGTGGTTCATACCTCTATAGGGGTGAAGGAGTTAATCAGCCCGTGCATTCTGCCTATACAGTCGACAAACAGATCTTTTTGATGCTATATGACTTTAGTATAGTGGCTGTAAAGGTGTCATATATATACAAATTTGTTCTTAGAATTCTTTGATATGCATTGACTTTTTCGAAGAATTCATAAGGCATCTTTATACAAATATGAGGGCAGTACGTTCTATGCTATGAAATCGGAAAAAAGTTTACAAAGCTAATACACTAGCATAAGTTTTTATACTTGTACCAATTATAATTTGGAATAGGTTATGCTATATTACTTTTGCAACAAAATCTCAATTTTTACGACAACATTTTTTGTTTTGAAATCAGATATTTTTTATAGTGGAAGTAAATGCACGCTCAAGCCGAAACTGTAATTTCGATTTTTTTAAAAAAATTGTATGGAAATACATATCAATTCGTCTCACACTTGGTGATTATGGTAATGTCTGTATGAATGTTCATTTATCGTGATTGCTTACTTTTTTGTTGAAGATAACTCTCTATAGCTATTCAATTTATTCATTTCCATAACCCATAAAACATCTAATGGCTTCTATTTGGCTTTTGTTTCGTTATAAATTCTGAACAATTAAGCCAAGAATGAAAAGGGGCCTTAGATCTATACCAGTCATTTTGATTGTTGGCTGATCTATAAACCAGTGACTAAAATATTGTAACTAACTAGCATACTGAACATACAAAAGAGAACATGTTCCTTTCAAATAATTGCACAATTTCATTTATCCACCTGAAAATGTGAACTCTTGTAACCATAAAATATTATGTTTAAGGGTATGGCCGGCCTGAAGAATGCCCTTAGAAATGAGGTAAGAAATATATAGTGTAAGAATTTCCTTTGCGATGAAAAATAATAGTACAGATAAAAGGTTTCCTTAATGAACATTTGATGTAACCCTCAGCAGAGCCATTTATTAAAATTAACAGATGGGTGCTAAACTAATAATGTTAAAGATCCAACCTCTAAAAGTGTTCCCAAAATCATTCCTTGTAGCGTCCTTTTCTAGAATGACCACCTCATTTTGTCGAGCCCTTCACTACAACAAAAATACTCTTTTACAACACTTAAAAGGCAATATTTGTTGATAAATATTGCTAAAAGGGTCTTTTGGCAACACTTTAGTAAATGAATGTTGTCATTGGTTAGTATAAATGAATTTTGGCAATGTTTTATAGAAAAATGTTGCGATAGACCCTTTTTTGCAACGTTTATTGAGTGTTGCGCAAATTTTTATTTTCGAAAAGCCTTCTGCAACGTTTGTCAAACGTTGCGAAAGACGAAACATTCTGCAACATTCAATAAACGTTGCAAAATGGGGT